TAAATATCTATTTTCTGAACTAACGACGCAAGTATGCGTTTCGTGTCGATCGTCATCTTACAAAGAAATAACAACAAGTGGCTTCCAATTTTAATGAGCTTTGGATATGTTAAAATATAGAAAAAAATAAAAGATACATATATTTTGTCGTAAGTGCTCAATCGCATATTAAGGAATGAAAATTATCTTTTGAAAAAAAAAATGGGTTTCTTTCTAATATCATTTAAATCGTCAAAGATATAAAAAAATGTGTTAAATAAAAATTGAGTTGAATAAAGCAATAGTGCTTTATAATGATGTAATATAAAAAACTTTTTAAATAAAAAATTAAAATTTAAAAAATTATGTTATTTTTGTTATAAAGTACTTTTGAACCATTCAACTTTTAATTAAAACATGTTTTATATTTTTGATGATATTCTGTCAAAAAGAAGGAAAGCGATTTTTTTCAACGGAGAATTTAACGTGCCACCAAGCTTATAAAAAATATGTCTCTTATTTTTGTCTATATTTTAACAAAGCTTATTAAAATCCAAAATTTATTAAAATCGGAAAGAGACGCTTGGTTATACTTCTCTGTCAGTTGCGTAATAAATCATAAACTTTTGTAACATTCCGTTAAGATGACAGATCTCTTACGCGTGAGACCATCGCGCCAAAAATACGCTTTGGTTTCTGCACGAATAAATTTCACTGCGAAATCTCCGCTGATGATCTCGATCGAAGAAGATGATTGGCTGCCAAATACTCAGAGCGATCCCAGATTAAATCGCTGACCTGCTTGTGCGACGTGCTTTCGTTCCGCCCCCAAATCTAACGAAAAAGCGCACATCTCGTACAAGAATACCGTTCGATAGCGAGTCAGCGATACGTATGCAGTGGATTCATAAATAAACTGGAAGTACTGTTGCGTGGGTGTGGTTAGTCTGCCAAGCTCCAAGAACGACCTTACGCTAGCGATTGGCAAACAAGAAAGAAAGAAGACACAAAAGTTGACCGAGTTGAGAACTTCATTAAGCCGGATCCAAGACACATTTATATGATTAGCGAGAACGAGAAAGACAAATTTATAATTGGTGTCTCATCTAGACTCCTACATAATGTCCTGCGTAGGAGCGAAGGCATATAAATCAACACAAATTGCCTCACAAACGTTCACTCACCTGTGACATTCATCTCCGCGATGAACAAACTATATTTTTATGCGAAGACGACTTCTTGAATTTTACATTCTTTATTAATTTTTACAGTTATCTTTGCTTTCATTCTTTATTATTAGGTGTTGGAATTAATTCGTAGCGTTTTTTAATGAAAGAATGTTATTTATTTCACATGAGCATTAAAAAATACATTAATGAAAGTACTTCCCATCACTTGTAAAACGCTACGAATTAATTCCAACACCTAATAGTATTAAATATCTTTTCGATATAGTTTATCCGATTTTTTCCAATGTTTCCCCAATGTCTTTTCCATTACTTATAACTTTTTTTTATTAATACAGATACATTTGCTTAATTGGACAACCTTAACGTCTGGCGGTTCGATTGAAAAAAAAATTTTACAATATGTTCATTTTTATAAAAATTATAACCAATCGAATTGAATTGAGTATGCCATATACTAGTGTTTGTTTCCACAGTTAGACATTCAAGGGTTAAATTTAATTCAGTGTGTGTGTGTGTGTGTGTGTGTGGTAAAGGATAGAGAGTTCGATCTCTCGAAAGCTTAATGCGTCGTTACGTGACTACCGATTTTTTTTTGTTTTTAATTCCGATATGATCCATGATTATAATCAGCCGCTCTCTCTCTAACCCGCTTTTTTCTCTCTCTCTTTTATCCAAGTCCTCTGTGTTGCGCCACGGCGGAGACCTTTCTCTCGAGAGGCTTTTCCACCTCGCGGACATATCGGACATTCTTATCTCAACCGGCCAGTAGGCTGTGCAAGGGCTACCGGCTGGAATCAGATAACGCGACGAGCGGAGACAAAAGGATGCATTAGCCAACAAGCCGGTGGCTAATTATCCCGCACTTCCATTTTCGAGGATAGGCGTGACCATCAAGCCGTCATCATCACGCGGATAAACGCAGACAGGAGAGAAAGAGAGAGAGAGAGAGAGCCGCGAAAAGGAGAGAGCCGGCGGACGATTAAGCGCCGGCGATCGGGCTTCGATCTCACCGAACCGCAATGACAAATCCTGCATAAATTACGAGTGCCAAGGCCGACCGTGATTGGTCACGCCTTCCCGCGTCGGCACCGCGTCGTCCGTTTACCAATCGACTTGACTCGGATATTTTTGCATTACGTAACAGCTCGGCGAGGGCAGCAAACGGCGATTATGACGGTCGTGTGGCGATTTAAAGAGAAAGATTGTCCACCGTCGAGACTTCCGGCACGATGGAGTCGCTTGTCACTCGGAAATATTTTTGTACGAGCTCTTTTTCCTTCTCTATTGGATTACGAGTATATACTTCAGATTCTACAATACATACGTACTCTTACGTAACTTTCTTTTTATGTATAGAAGCTTGATTTAAAATTGTTTTTATTATTGATTACTGATATTCATAAAAGGGGAAAAATATGTCTTTTACTGCTTGAACAAGATTTCTACGAAATAGACAATTAATCTTTTATTTATTACATAAGTCTATTATATTTTTAACTTATATCGTAAAGAATACAACTTTATTAGTTCGCAGTATTTCACTATTTTTTTAAACTGATAATTTTTTAATTTACTCTCTAAATTTTTAAAGTTACTCTTTAGAACTTGAATATAGTCAGAAATGAATATAGTCATTTTAAAATCTCACTTTTAAAGATAGAAAATTGAACCACTCTTTTTCAAGACTAACGCAACTTTCATTCTTTAGAGTAAGATTCCACTCCAAAGGATTTAAACAATAATTACCCAATACTTACAAACTATAACATATATCTTCAAAAAGCAAAAGAAACTTCGAATTGATAGTTAAAAAATATTCAAAGGAAATTACGATAAATTTGCAAATATAAGAGTAAAAATGAATGCGAATGATATCTGCTATCAATCACAAGAAAAATCTGTTTTTCTTACTTCGTTTGTCGATTACAAAAATTCATATTTTCCTCGAATATCGAAACAGCATTTTAAACTCTTATTCCTTCTCACTTAGTTGACGCCAATGATGTTTGAATAAAAATATTATTCGTATTTTTGCTTACCTGAAACAGAAATAAAAGCACGTATATTAATACAATGTTAAAATATAATTTTATTGTATTTTATTTTCTACTAAATCTTTGTACATATTCCTTGAAACTTTTAGAGTATATCTTATTCTTAAAGATTAAAAATTTAATCATTCTTTTTCAAGAATTGATTAAATTTTCACTATTTAAAGCGAGATTTCACTCCAAAAAATTTAGAAAATAGCTATACACAATAAATGAATATAATACAAGTCTTTCTTTTTAAGTTTAATTTAATATTAGAATTATAAAGAATTTTGTTTTGAGAATATCCCCAGAGTAACCTTCGGGACCCTTCATGTCGTAAAATTTTACGGAATATAATAGCCTCAACAGATGCAAGTGTCAAACAGCGTGACGTAATACAGACGTGGGAGGCGCTTGGCACGTTAATCATCGTTCATCGTGCGCTTGAAATCCACAAGTCGTTTTCGTGGACTCGATGTGAACGACTCACTCCGCAATATGGGCCCGCATTTTGCGATCCCGCGTTATGTCCTCCCAGGGAGGACACAATGACGATCATCGAGCAAAAAGGCGGAGGTGGGCCGTAGGTGTCTCCACGGCCGGTGCCGATCGCGTGTCCGATCGCATGCGGAAGGCGGAGGAGGAAATCTCTATGGTGTCCCGATGGCGTCGGGCTTCCGACACCAGGGAAAATTGGCACTTGTCGCAGGGCATCGGTCGTTTGCGGTCGAAGATGACACGGGGCGGGAAGACACGCGTCGTCCCATTGCCATTGTCCGGGATGGGATCGAATCGGATCGAATCTGTCCCCGGTATTGTCCGGGTTCGACCGCATAAGCGACCGCACGCAACCGGGTCGCCCTCGGCGACACCCTAAAGTTGACAGTTTCCGGATCGATGATCGGGACGAGGAGGCTATTGTGTCGTCGATCGCATGACGAGGCATTGTGCACCTCCCACGCATCGGCATGCCGAGCCGATGACATCGTACACACATCAACAATTCGTAAAAGCATAATAGGATTATCCTCCGATCAGAAAAATCCTCCAGTGAGGGGGCGAAGGGAACGAAAAGTCGCACTCTTTGTCGCATCTTTGCGTCGCATTGTACCGATGGCATTATGCGAACCTGTCGACCTCGAGAGGACACGATCTTTCGGGCAGATCGCGAAGATTGAAACCGTCGTTTTTAAGCCGCTTGGTGGCATTTTTCCTAGCGAGCCGCACGCGGCGTCAAGTGCAGGCAGATATTAAATCGTGATCATGGAGATAGAGAAGCTTTTACGGAGGTTAATCAGCGAGCACGGATCTAACGAAGCGGATGGTAATTATCTTAGGTACGCGCGAGCTTCGATTTAAGCGCTTTACGATCCCAGCACTAAAATCTCGGTGATTTCGTCCGTTCGCATTTTTAAGAGAATAAGAGGTGAAGAGCAAGTGAAGATTTTTTAAAATAAATTTTTTTCTACATGATTTCCTAAATGAGAAAATGTTCGTAGTAATAGATTCGACTTATTATCATGAAAAGGTGGATGTGAATTGAGCGAGCTCAGTATTACGTTATTTTTATATATCAATGGATTATATTTCTCTAAATATCAATTTAGTTTCTTATATTTCCTCGTATAAATTTGTCATAAAGTTCTGGATAATGTATTTAAATATTTAAGTATACATAATTATTAGGCATTAAGAGCCAGCCGTATTTGGTATTTATTTTTTGACTTAAATTTGTCACGTATTATTATTATATTACTTCCATACCGATGAATGTAACTCATAACTCTTATCCGTTAAGCCCTTACATAAAAAAAATCCAGCCGATGAGAAGACAATTCCTTCATTGGGAGAGAGGGAGGGAAAGATCCGAATAACATCACTTCTTTTTCCGTCACTTCCCACGAGCCATTCCCATGCGATGCAAAACTTGAGCGGGACGACTCAAGGCTGAAAGATACCAGGTGCATCGGCACCGTTCCGCTTGCATCGCGACGGGTCTCATTCCAGGCGAGATGACGAAGCCAGTATAGAGCCAGCAAGAAGGGAGTAAGGAAGAGAGCGGGTGGCGCGGGGGCGAGGAGGCGGCGGCGTGAAGAGGAGGTGGAGAAACGAGAAGAAACGGACCAAAAGACCGGAGTGATGAAATCGGCGGGCACGGTGATGACGGGATACGGCGAAATGAAGGCGAGAGAGAGGAGCTCCCTGGCAATTAGCTCAAACGAACCGGGAGTGGCGTGACACGTACTTTGTCGCGCACGTCTTCTGACATCAGCCACCGTGGGAGACGTCAGTCCGTGAGCGGTCAGCTCCTTCGTCGTCGTCACCGTCGTCGCCGTCGTCGTCATCGTCGTTGTCGTTCGATCGACGGACCCCGGCAAAACCAGCGACTGATGATAATTGTTTGCCGGTGTGAGGATGCGCATGAAGACCGAATCTGTGGCCTAGTCGACACAGGCATGCACCAACGCGAAAAGTCCGTTCCGACCCGAAAGAAGATCGATTGGATCTGCGAGTCTCCTCCTGTCTCGTTGTTCTTCAACCAGAAGCCACGATCGCTTCGATACACGTTGGTTATGTGCGAGTTACAAGACGGCAATATACATTTTTATGCAATTTTTAATCATTATTTTGCAGTATTATTTTATGCCAGCATAAATTTCGACGTATCGTAATGACTTTCCATTATTATCTAATATATACTTATTCCATACACATTACACATTTTTTCATCAAAATACTTATGCATTAAAATAAATATATAATTGAAATACGCAGAACTTATTATTAATATTTTCGAAGAATAAGGCTTTACTGTTTTTAGATATTTTTCTGTATTTTTAAAATGATTATTTAGAATTAATTTGTAATTGATTCTAAACGTAATGGAAAATAAACGATGTAACGATTATAAATTATTATCACAACTAAACCCGTTAAATAATTGCTCATTAACTCATTGCCGAGTTATTATTTCTCATTATCGTACATCATTATCATTAATTACCAAAATTATACTGTTCATGACTCTTTGTGCTTTCTACCTTTTGATCACAATGCACGCTCTCGGGTGGCAAAACGGCCGAGAGAGAGAGAGAGAGAGAGAGAGAGAGAGAGATATGGCGGTTGATAACTATCGAAATCAATGTACGGGCCGCAGCCTCCGTCGGCAGATCACTACGGCCAGATAACGTAAACGCGGCGGAGATTTTAGCGGAGGTCACGAGAGAGATGCGATCTACAAACCGTAGAAAATCCTCCACCGGCTTTTCGTCGTCGACCCATCGAAGGAGCGAAGAAGGGTTCCCTCGCCAGACAGCTCGAGATTCGATTGCGATCGGGCCGTGGCGAGAAGGCGTCGCTCGTTCCTTCCTCTTGTGAGGACGCGATAATCAGATAATGCCGGGATTAAAAGTGTTGCCGCGCGGCGGCATTAAATATAGATTTCGGTAATGACAGGTCCTGCCCCGGGAGCATCTTCCAAGCCTCTCTTGGTTGTGGTCTACGATCCGACCTGCTTGTCTTATACGTAACGGCGCGGTCGCGCGAAATCATCCATCTTGCATCGCTTCGCGTTCGTCCTCTCCTATTTATTGTCGACAAGTTTTTTACTCGTTGGAACTTGTTCGCCAAAAACGAGGTATTTATCTCACGGCGAGCATATAAACGTCCAGTTATTTGTATCTATCGACAAACTTGTCTTATTTGCCGTAAATCACGTTTGTAATTCTTACAAATATAACGAGAAGAGATAAGACTCCGTGCGGAGATAACATCTTTGATATAATATCTTCGGTTTACATTAAACCGAGAAACATATATTCCCGGTTGGATAATAATCGATCTACTCTTACAACACATCAAGCATGCTACGGGATAATGGATCTCGTTGAGTTCAAATGGAGCATACGCTGTTAATCGCGCGTAAAGATATTTAGGACTCAACCGATCGGAACGTATAAAGTGCAGATTTGCTTCTCCGCGAGGTGGTTCGTTCGCCATTCAGTCCGTGACGTGTTTCGTCGAGTTCCAAGCAGTTCTTGCTCCTGCGGATTTTCAACGGTGACGAGTACGACGACGACGACAACAACAACGACGACGACGACGACGACGACGACGACGACGACGACGACGACGACGAGAGAAACGCGCGGAATGCTGCCGCTGGGCGTCTTAATGCGTTCTAAATTGCGGCGAATGCGCTTTAATTGATTGACAAAAAGCGCCAGGCGGAAAAAGGCCTGGTTCGCGCCCGGTTGTTGCCTGATGGAATAACGCGCCGTGGAAGTGCCCAGGTAAGACCGGCTTTGCCGCCGTGTCACTCGTTCGTTCCTTCGCGCGCGCGATACACCTTCCTGCCCTGCACCTCCCGATTCTCCGACACCTCGAGGAGCGATCGTTCCCTTGACAAATTGACTCTTAATGCGTCTCTCTCTCTCTCTCTCTCTCTCTCTCTCCCTACCGCGATCTGGTTTCAGGATTCGAGATTACGATGACGGGAAACTTCTTCGAATGCTCCACTTTAGCACAAACGATTCCACGAGCATCGTTGCTCTTGCTCGTTTTCAAGTCTAGTCTATGTAAGATAACTAGATGTGAATAAATGCAAATACCTCGTATTATTGATATGTATTATTATCCTAATTCGTTCCGCAATTTCCTTAACTTGTATTCGCAAGTCCAAAGTACTTCAAATTAACATACCTTTGCTCAAAGTTAACGTAATTAAATGATTTCTTTCATTTTAAAAGTTAAAATCTAAGGAATAAGATTATGTAACTTAAAATTATGTAAAGTTGTGAAAAACATTTGTTTTAAACAATTATTCATAACGAAGTTGAAGGAAATGTCCGTTTCACTGAACCTACGAATACATTAGAAATTCATCTTTGTCGCTAAATATTACTGCCGACATCGTTTTATATCTCGTATAAAAAATATATTTTATAAAGACTAAATAAAAACGTTCATTTAAACTGCAATAAAAATATTTATTATTGTTTTTATTATTTCATTCATATAAGTGATATTGTAATATTAATGTTGGATAATCATATTGAATTAAACACAAAGTAAAAATATTATTCTTCGATCCGTTTAATAGCGATATTCATCAAAGGTTAAAAAAATACGGAAAATAAAAATGATTGTATTATATTTTAAGTGAAAATATGATTATTTATAGAGAAATACGTTGAAAAATTCGTTGATATCGAAGAACAAAAGAGAATTCGTTAAATTCCGTCGCTGCAAGCAGTTTTATGTGACATGTGTTATTACGAGAAAATTCCTTCGGGGTATTTTGTCGTCAGTCGTTTAACAAAATTGGAATAAGCATCGCTACGGCCGACGGTAATCGATTATTTCGGGACGAGATTCCAAATCGAATTTCCATCCTTAATTGGCCATGGGAGATGAGAGTCGCGCAGGTAACGATTCGTAAAAAGCATACTATGTCACAGTCCCACAGTAATTTAAATCTCATTATATTGGCCCGTGGTTTGCGGTTTTGATACAGCGGTTCTCATTCTGTTTGAGCAATCCTGTACCGCCATACCCTCGGCGTACTTTTTCATAAACAAAAATTATTAGCAGTAAATAATCTAATTAATTAAATTAATAAATGGCTACCTTTGTAACGCGCATATAATAATATGAAAGCGAATGCGTGATGCGATTCTTGGATAATTAATAAAAGGATTATATTGCGTTGCATAATGTAATATACTGTAATGTTTATAAAGGGCTGCAAATATTGCGGTACATGTCACGTTATTTAACTGCATTATTTATGTTAAACTTCCGATTAATAAAGGATTAATATTTATCGTAAACGTTTCGTCGGCGATATGAAACGTCTGACAATGAAAGGGCGATTTTGTGGATAGATTACTGTCCAGGGCTTTTGAGAAACCCTGGTTTACGGATGCCTTCCGTCCTGTAATATCACCAATCAAGACGGGAATTCGGCATGCACACGAAACGACAATATGAATCACGGTCCTTCCCGCGGCGCGGCGTGCGGATCATACCGAAAATAATGCCCACCGACATGCCGAAAAAGAAATTATAAACCGTAATCACGCGCGAATTTCTCGGGGCTCCCGGGGCGGATAATGCAACTCCCAAAATATCATATGCGCATCGCTGCTGACCGGGATGGGCGCGAGTTTTATAAACTCGCTACGCGGTCGAGGGGGTGGTTATGCAAACGCAAAACATTCCGCGCGTCGTTCCGCGTGTCCGGTAATGATATTAAAATGTAAAATGCAACCGGCGCCACGTTACACCGCGCGGAATTAAAAACGGATTGCATCGTGCGCGCAAAAACCTTGCAAGCAATTTTCGCAATTTATTTTATATCGCGATTTCCGATATGCATTTCGTGCCGTCCTTTTCCATGACTTTTTCGCGTGTTATATAATATAACATAATATGATACGATATAACGTATACATTTCATATCTCTTGCATTCAGAAAATTTGTACAATTTTTCATGAATATTGTCGAATTCACGGAAGCGAACTCGATATTTAACACTAAAAGTATCAACGTTTTTTTCTTACTCGCTAAAAGAACCATAAATAAATTACTATCAAAATAGAGAAAATGATGAAAACCCAAATATTTCATCAATATAAAAGACACAATTATTGAAAAATCACAAACAGAATCCTGTCTTTTACACAAGAAATATAACGTTAATCTAAAAATTAGAAACGGCCAGACTCGATACTCTCTCTCTCTCTTTTAATTAATTCGGAATGCGTTATGAAATACTCCTTAAAGTCAATCCCGTGTTTACGGATTCAGAATCTTTTTTCTGAGGTTTAGCTGTGAAGGATTACGCGACGTCACCGAACGAGGGATGACAAAAGAAGGCTGAAAAACGAGAGAGGGTGGCTGATGTCACGGCAAGAAACGGCAGGTCGCGCGTGCAACAAGTGGTAGATGCGAAAGAGAGATCGACGGATGTCAAGTCGTGGGGAAATAAAAAAGTCGCCCTTATCCTCGCGGGGCGGACTAATA